CGAGCACTTACCATCTGGAAGGCGACGTCGGCGGTAGCGGAGAAAGCCCGCCTGTCAGCTGGCGGGAACACCGTGACGCATTCTACAGCGGCACGAAGAGAATGGTAAATATAACGTAGGTCTACATCTGTTTGTGAAAAGGAGAGCGAGTGAGAGAGGAACGAAATTGTCTTTCAGTTCTTGTAGCTCTCTACCCCTCTCTGTCTCCCCTCTCTCTCCCCTCCCCCCCTCTCTCTCTCTCTCTCTCTCCCTGTCTCCCTCCCTCCCCTTCTCTCTCTCGCTGTACACACGCGCACGCGTGTGTTTTTGTTTGTCTGTTTGTTGTGCGTGCGAGTAGGCGAGTGAGCGATCGCCGTAACACGTCACGGCTCGAGATGCGCGAATATCGACACGTCATCGTTTCTTGCAGAGCCGCGCGAGTCTGTCGGCGCTGGCGACCGTGCGTCGCATGTCGTCGACGGCCGTGTTGCTAGGCAACAGTCGCGCCGCGAAGACGATCGCCATGGTGTTTGGAACGTTCCTCGTCACGTGGTACCCGCTGCACGTCGTCGGCATGCTGGACTATGCGGGATTCGTAGCCGACGAGTTTTACGACATTACGAGCTTGTTCGGTATGATCGCCATGTGCAACTCTTTCCTCAATCCGCTCATCTACGTCATCAGGTGCGAAGCGTACCGTGCGGCGCTGCGGAGGCTGCTCGGTTGCCAGGCGACGGGAAGATACTGTCGCCGTTGTTACTGCTGCTGCTGATGATGATTGTGGTGGTGGTGGTGATGATGTTGATGTTACTGCAACTGATGATGATGATGTTGTTGTTGCCGCTGTTGCTGCTGCTGATGACGATGATGGATGCTCACGTGTTTGCGATGTGTTTCTCGCGTGGTAAGAGTGTGCTTGTGAGAGCAAGCAATGCTGTCATATTCACAGAAAAATTATATATTTCTAGCTACAATATTATTATTATAGCAGGGTATTGTAATATTGTTCCGTAGTAAATAAACCCTAACTCCTGCGACCGTTAGAAAATTCACAAATTACGTATGGAGAACCACCATATATGTGTTGCGGTTTGTGAAATATATTTATAGAAAATCCATCTATTTATAGAGTATGTGTTAGGTTAATATCTTTGCGAAAAGCTCTCTATAAAGAAAGATCTTGGTGTCGTCGTCTAAGTGGTGCAGGGCGCACTTGACATGGGCAAATTAGGCATTAAAACTAAACAAGATTAGTTTCACAGATGGCGATGGCTACATCGCGTTGGAGACGGTTTATAGGCAGAGTTCAGTACGACTAATAATGTAGAAGATCAAGATCACTACACGTATCTACGAATCACATTTCCTGGCAAGCGGGACCGTTTGAGAGAAAATGTTTGAACGAGACCATTGTAGCGTGTGTTTTGTACACTTGCAGCAGCGTGTACAATGTTTACGAGACGAGATCACATCACATGTAGCGTGTGTTGGTAACTTGGCACCACGTGTACACATGTTTCGAGACCATGCTAGGCGTGCCCTGTTTGTACACTTGGCACCAGCGTGTACAGCTGTGTTTTACGAGACCATGTAGCGTGTGTTTGTCAGCTACCGTACTGCGCACCAGCAGTGGCTGACACATAGTGTTTGAGCCCGCAGAGACCATTGTACGCCGTGTGTCTCGTAAGACCGCTTGCGGCACCCCCCACGCCTGCTACACATGTGTTCCTTATCGAAGACCATGGTAGCCGTCGGTGTTATGGCTACACCTGTGGCACCCAGAAGCGACGGTAGCACATGTGTTTTACCGAGCAACCATGAGCCAGTGTGTTGATACACTTGCCACCAGCGGTACAGTATTTTTACGAGACTATGTTAGCGTGGTGTTTGTATGACACTGTGGCACCGCGGTACACTGTGTTTACGGAGACAATGTAGCGTGTGTTATAGCACTTCGGCACAAGCGTGGTACACATGATGTTACGAGACGGTATGTAGCGGTTTGTCTCTGTAACACATCTTGGCCACACGTGTACATAATTCGCTACGAGAAGGCTGGCATGTAGCAGTGCGTTGTGGACACTTTGGCATAAAAGCCGTGGTACAGAATCGGTAGTTCGTTACGAGACAAAATTGTAAGGGGGGCGAGATGGTTTGTAACAGGCTGGGCGGCCGAAAAGGAGGCCGATTATGGACTGGCACCAGCGTGTACTACATGTGTTTACGACACAATGTCAGGATCGTTAGTGTTTGTACACTTGCACCACGTGTACAATGTGTTACGCAGACCATGTAGCGTGTGTTTGTACACTTGCAGGCCATCGCGTGAACGACATGTTTTTCGAGAGCGATGTAGCGTGTGAGCTTATGTACACCATTGGGCAGCCTAGCGTGTTACGACATAGTTGCTGTACGAAAGACCATGTAGCGTGTGTTCTGTAACACTTGAGGGGTCACCGAAGACGATGACAACATGTGTTTACTGAGACCATGTAGCGTGTGTTTGTACACTTGTAGACCCAGCGTGTACATCATGTGTTTATGAGAGCGTACTGCTAGCAGTGTTTTGGTACAACTTGGCACGCAAGCGAGTGTACCGACATGTGTTTATTGAGACTATAGTAGGGAGTGTTTGTAACACTTGGCCACCAGCGTGGTAACGATGTGTAAATGCAAGTCGAGTACCACTTACCATCCATGTTTAATTCTGTCCTTCTTTTTTGAGTTATTTGCACAAATATGGATCAGTCGATAAGCTAAAAATAATCTACTGTAATGATAAAACATATCGATCCGCTATTGATCATTGATACTTGCTTATTTATAGCCTTGATAAGTATATATGCGAACGTGATAACATAATTATGCGTGAGCGTGCGTGCAATGTGTGCGTCGCATGGTGTTGTGCGCGTTCGTAGTTCGTAACGCGAGATAATAAATTATTATGTATGATAAATTATATATATATATAGTATATTAATATATGTCCATGTTCCCCAGCAAACGAGTGTGGGAGGGACAATACTGAAGGAAGGAAGTGAGAGGAGGACAAGAAACAGAGGAGAGAAAGGAGAGGGACGGGGGGGAAGGATGGAATGCAGACGGGAGATGTCAGAGCCATGCGCAGTCACACGCGCAGACAGAACGCACGTACGGCACAGACGGCACCACACACAAGCAACTCCGATGATTGCACATATTTCCTTCTAATTATTACTTACTTACCTCTCGCTCTTCCCGCCAACCTCCTCTCTCCCTCCTCTCTCTCGCTCTCTCTCCTCTCCCGCGATCTCTCTCTTCTTCTCTCTCGCAAATAGTTTCTCTTCTGCTATCCACGCACGCACGGCACACACAATTACACACACGCCTCCGCAATTTTGCTCTCTTCTCGGCGCTATACATATACACACATAATATATAAATTATATATATACTGCCTCTTCGTCGTTTCTCTTGCGCACTAACTCACACCCCTCTCGCGGAATGGCTATCGCCGCTTCACATTCAAGCATGGAAAAACTTTTGCAAGGTAAATGCGCCGGATTTCAGTCGTAAACTTTTTCACTCACCCGAGGTACAAAATGTGAATTTACGGCCTATAATACACGCGCACGGTGCGTGCGACCCATACCCGCGTGTGCGCGTCCGTTACGTGTGTGTGTCAATGTGTGTTTGTGTGAGCTGTAAAACCGTACTTATAGGCCGTATCAATCATCATTTTGTTTTTGGGGATGAAAATATTGAAGCTGAAAACCAGCCAGTTGCCTGGCTAACTTTTCACGCGGGCTAACTGAGCCACCGTGGGCGATACTATCCGTGGGATGGGGGCAGGGAAATGACTGAGCGAGGAAGGAGTGAGAGGGGAGGAGAAAAGGAAAGAGTAGAGAAAGCGAGGGAAGGACGGTGAGGGAGAGAAGGAATGCAAAGAGCGGAGAGTGCACACTCATGTGCGCAGTCCACACGCACGGCAACGGGCACGTCACGACACACACACACACACACGAACACACACACCCAGCACACACCACACACACACACACATACACGCTTTCCTCGTCGCAAACTTTTTCTACGTCTTTCTCGGCGCTATATATATATATATACACATAGTATATAAATAATAAATATATATCTATTATATTTATGTTATTTATTTATACTCGCTTTTCTCCGTTTCTTTCCCTTGCTCATGACCGTATTACAGCCGAAACTTTTTACCCCCCCTCTCGAGGAACAAAATGTGAATTTACGCCTATAATATCACACGCAACGCGTGCGTGCGATGCCATATAGGGCGGCGCGTGTGCGTGCGACCACACCCGCGGGGTGTGCGTGCGACCACACCCGCGCGTGCGCGTAGCGACCACACCACGCGCGTGCCGCCCGTCCCGTGTGTTGCGTGACTGATAAAAGTCGCGTAATTAATAGCGTCGGTATAATAATATTTTGTACTGTGGGGGAGGGGTGTGCGAAAAAAGTTGGAGGGCTGAAAACCAGCCATTCCGAATAAAATTCACCGTGCTAACGTGGTCAGTAGGCGATTACCTATTTGGGAGAGGGGGATCAGTTATTCGCCGAGAGAATAAATAACCTGTTAGGATATAGATTAAAGTAGCAAGTGTATAAATAAATAGACGTCTGAGATATAGGTAGATAGAAATAGATTGAATACCAGATATTGAATGAAAAGGTATTATTTGTATTTTCTTGGGTTTTCGTGATGGTTGATTCTATATGGTACGTTATTACTGCTAGGTACTCATATATTGAGTTCCACTAGATTCAATAATGTAACCCAAACCAAGGATAGGGTTATCCTGGGTTTGGGTTACATTATTATATCTAGGGTCCCACAAGTGTGAATTATTTTTTCAAAAACCTTTCAAGGACTTGGACCTATTTCCAAGGACTTTCAATGACAAAAGGAAAAATTAAGGACTTTAAAGGACAAATGACAAAATTCAAGGACTTTCAAGGGCTGTGGGGACCCTATATATTATAAATGACGAAAAACAAGGTCATTTCAGTGTCAAAAATATTCGATTTGTCTATTTATTCTTAACGTAGTTTTAACTTACAAATTAACATATGTCATCACTGTCAAAACTCTATGACTCATAACAAAGGATCGATAATGAAAGCACTTAATACTGAAACATTTCCCCAAATTGCCCCCAGCATTAACATTTATGAAAAACGAAACCACAGGAGTGTTGAAAACCCTGATCACACATGAAACCGCAATCATGTGAATGAATACCCATGCTCTTTGTTTTATTATATAACAAACCGTTATGTGCGAACTGTTTACGAACAGCGGATATCTATAAACACAGTTTGAGAGAGACGGGTAAGAGAGAGGAATAGAAAAATAGAGATAGAGGGGGGGGGAGATAGAGAGAGAGAAACGCATCGACAGTTATAGATTGGTAAATTCATGGCATTAACAGACAAACACATGGAATAAAATGTCTATTACTACATAATGAACAAGTATTATCCGTAGAATGCTACTACAATTCTATGTAACCTGAAAAAGGATGCAATTGTGCGTTAATCTATGTGTGTGGGGAGGGGGCAGCAAAAGGCGTACACATCACAATCCATGTTCTATCGCCATGAGCACACATATAGAACATCCATAATGCTCCAGGCCCCCCTAGATTTTGGAACAAAAAAAACAAAAAATTGTTCTACTTAAAGAAAAGTCGTAGTCAGAATGAAGGCTGTACATGTACTTAAAAGTGCCTCAAATACCATCTCCTGCTATCTACATTTTCAAAGATTTCTGTGGGAGGACCCCCAGACCCCCCACCAGTTTGTCACCCCTCCTTAAAATCATGGATCTGCCACTACCCTTCCTAGAAATTTGCTCAGCCTACGGCTCTGCGCTCTAACGTGACAATAGTTTCATGCTATCATGAGACACAGTTTTATGCTATTACGCAGTTATGCTATTACGAACATTCTATTAGTTATTCCTATCACGCGCCACCACGATTATCAATATTTATCGATCGTCTGACTGTCATACCCACTGCTATCGACCAATGATGTCAATCACACACACTGTCGCTATCAAAGCTTCCACGTCACGACAAATGCTCAACTTTATTACAAACGCTTACTTCGTATTTTTCGTATGGACAACTTGCAATACGAATTATATCAGAACGATCATAGAACCCGCTCAATATATTAGCTATACGCCTGTTTAGCATGTTTATTACATGTTATCCGTACCGTTACGTATATGTACCTGAGTAGTCATGGTAACTGTTCTCCTGATGACATAACTTAGGGAAGGAAAATGATGGATATTAGAGATGTAGAGACTATAACATGGAGAGGACTTTAGTAGGGAAACCAATCACTCAGGAGGTATGAAGAGAACCACACAGCGGCCATACATTCACGGTGGCCAGTACGGGACATGCCTTCAGGCAGTCAGGCATAGTAACTATACTATATGTAATATATATATGCATAACTATATATATATATGTGTATATGCATTATCACCGGTAGAATCGGATACTCTCTGTAAACAATCTATAGATAAAGATCTCTAGACACTCTCTATACTATGAAGATGTACAAGTGTGTACACACATACACACACGCGCACATACACATAAGTAGGCACGCGCACACACGTAATATATAAAGAAACAGGTGTGTGCTTGAGCAATATTATACCAAATTCAATTACCGGTCCTTCCCAATCCCACATCCGCTATTCCGAAATTCGAAAAGCTCCGAAAACCGAAATGTTTTTCGTAAAGTGTGACTCGTGCACCACGACATGACACATATGTACGTGACATGTGACATAACAACTGTAATATGTTTTACAGTCTTTATGTAATCCAGCTCAGTGTAAATATTCACACGGTTTGCTGCTGAAACATTTGTGTGTTTGCTTACAGGGTACTGCCACATAACCCGCTCCGATGTCATTATATAATGCTAAAAGCGAAAAGCTCCGAATATCGAAACGCATTTGACCTCAGGGTTTCGTACATGAGATTGTAAAACTGTATATAGCTTTTCTGTCAAAGACAACAGACTACACCAAAAGCACACGAACTGCTTCTACATAAACTATACAGTTTATGTGCACTTGATTGCATAGATAGCGGTAAACATACGTCGGTTGACTGCTGCCGCAACACTTCCTGACAATTTATATAACATTCCATGTAGGGGTCTGTGTCCAACACTGTTTGGAGCTTTAGTGATTCCATCAAGAAATTTAACCGATAATTAACTTTTCTTAAACAATTTTTCTATAATCTAGTAACTTTTCTATCACCTGACAATCCATACCTGTATCACATTGTAACTGACTTTCCTATCAACTGATAATCAGTATTCATATCACATTGTAATTAATTTTCCTATCACCTGGTGATCATCGATTATATCACATAGTAATTAACTTTCACTTGACAATTCCCTATTTCCCATCAAGAATACACGTGGAAATCATGACGCGTATCATCTGCTTATTATCACGTGTTACGTAATGGAATTATCACACGGAATGCAACGACACGACACGAAACTGAATGATATAACACAAAAACACACATATTAACAGCTACGCAACACGTAACAGGTCATGTGCCCATGATATTATGCAAGATATGATGAAATATCCCTCAGAGCACAATGATACTTCAGAATGCGTAATGATACAACTCAAGATGTAACAATATAACATTTACACTATGATAGATAACACACAGGGCACAATGATACAACATTACAGAACCTAACAGAACACTGTACACGGCCATGGGCTGCCTATCTATAAAAGGAGCGCATTATAATAAAACTTTGGCTAAATCGAGATAAAACATCCAGTAACATGCAAGGCCACCTATCATCAAACCCGTTAGCACGGTGATATTTATCCACAGATATTTATTGCACCACGTGATCCAACGCCAGCCACACAGTGGTGACTCCGCTGATTGTTCTACGCAAATAACTTGAGCTTTCTATATACATACCTATATAGAATTATGTCTATATATAACCATATAAAATCTATACTTTTTGGCCGTTGGGATCAACACTACAGACAAACCATATACTGTCACGCGCTCCCACTGCATTGTTCTGCTAAAAAGCGATTATCACAAAATATCTTCAATTGTGTAGTGTAAAGTCATCTATAATGACCAAATAATGTAACCATAGTTGATCCAACATAGCATCCTAGTATATACAGCTTTGCATATATATAAAAAAAACATGGTGGGCCATGACGTTAGGCAACGACCAAAAGGAACATGAGGTTAACACCTCATGGGTGCTTTCCTTCCGTTATTTCCTTCAGGCAGTTGATAACGTAAACGTTGCCATCTATACACATCCTCGTTGTCCAACCGGGCGAAATGAACATTTGGTGTGCCAGAGTTCCTGAACAACCTTGCGGTTGTTCTTAGACGCATCTTCACGTTCGTAGACAGACTTCACGTTGTCATGTGCTCACGCTGAACATCCTACGCGCTCGATCGCTTCACGCGTTGTCGCCCGCTCACCCGACATGTTGCTGCACGGCTAGGACTACTTGTTGTTTCGCTTGAGGTTGTGTGCTGCCCAGTTGAGAGATGTTGACCAGCTGTTCTTCAGCGCGTTATTAAAGCTGGTCTTGAAGTGTTGCAAGGCTTCCTCCTCACTCCGATCTAAACACAGCGTCTCCTGCAATACAAGACAAGTAACGCGTGTTTACTACAGTATAGATATATATCGTGTATATATATATATATATATATAGTGTATATCATATTCTAGCTCCCCCTGAAACAATAGCAACAATAAAGACAAGTAATACATTGCCAATACATTTCTGCAGCTTCCTAGAAACAGGTGAATGGAAAGTATACAGACAAGTAACACATTCCCAGTATATATAATCTCGTTCCCCAGAAACAGCTAAATGAAAACTATAAAGTCGAGTAACACATTCTCGATGTACTTTCTCTATTTCCCAGTAACAGAGGAATGAAAACGATAACGACCTTTGGTGCAGTTTTTCTTAATCTTGACTGTACGCATGAAAATAATCGACTTTAACCAAACCGAGTAACCCAGGTTAGCCTATCCCTCGACACCCGTCAGGATAATTATACAGTTAGCGATGAATACTATGAACACACTATGAACACATGCGTCGCGATAGTGTAGTGAGCAACTCGCTCACGCTCTCTTGAGCTCGTTCTCTTTATGCGCACCTGCAGGTAGTTGAGGTCTTCAGGTTTGCGTAGCTCTGGCAGTCCGGTTGAGAGCATCATTGCGAAGAGAGAGATGAGGAGGTGACTGTGTTTACGCAGGATGAGGAATGCCTTCTCACAGCGCTGCTGGAACCTACACACAACCACACACACACACACAACTGTATTATCCATGCTGCTAGAATATATATACATACATATAATATATATATATATATACAGTATATATATACATATATATCAAGAGTACATAATGGGAGAAGAGTATGACACTGTTTTAAAAAGATGCAAAATGTTACTAAGATGCAAAAGTTTGGGAAAACTGTGTGAAACTGTGTCGTAATCAAAGAACTCTTTTGAAGAACACATACGATTTTCAGGTAAACTGGTGGTGTCATATGATTAAGGGAGAATCCGAGACGAAAACAAGGTAAAGTTTGAATATATTTATTCACATACTGATAGAATATTTTCAAGTTGAAAACTATGCAAAACGCTGTTAAAACAGTGTCATACTCTTTGCCCATTATGTACTCTTGATATATATGTACAGTGCTCAATTTTAAGGTTTCTTTTGGGTTGTCCAGAGGACAACCAAGAGAGTAGCATATGGTTGCCTCTCAAGAGTTTTGCTTGTCCGGATATTATTTAAACATGTGCTGCATGCGCTCTGCTCACGCGATGCTCAGTGCTGTAAAGCAAAAGGCCTAATCATGTACATTATCGAGGCCACTGATCTCTATAGGAACTGGCTGGCGAATTACAAATGACAAATGACAAATGAGCGAGTGGGCGTAGAGCGAGTGCGCAGGATACATGTACATACATGTGATGTTATACATTGTATGAAGCAAGCCAGACGCGCAATGCGTCTAGACATGTACGTTTGCAGCGTATTGTGCAACCCTGGCCGTATGTAAAATGAACACGCACTCGCTGGTGGCCCGCGAGCGATCGATCGCCCAGGAGCGATGAACGAGAAGAAGCGCGCACCGTCATTATTGCTTATTTCAAAGTTTTGAATACCAACATTGTTGAAATTACAAAAGGGATATCTAAAAAAGGGATACCAGATGTCAAATACCTGAATACTGTACGTGTACCACCAACACTGGTATAGAGAGCTCAGGTTATTGATTTTATAGAGGTTGCAACCATGGACACCCGACAACCACGGAAGCAATTTGTAGTTGCCCGAGAGAAAACTGAGCCCGACTGAAACTGAGCTGTTGACGACTGTTAAAATTGAGCCCTGTATGTATAATATATATATTTATTTATAACTCTGGACCTTTGCAGAGAGCTATTTGACAATAGCACAACGTTTTATACATTTCACGTTGCAACTGACAGCAATCCTGCAATTTTGCATGTGATGCCATTGAAAGTTCAATTGAACATAACGTTACCTAGAAGTCCTGGGAATTGGAATTAACAAGATACGCAGACAAACACGACAATCGTGGCTATGCACATTGGAGTAGTTACCAAGTAAATTCGGTTGTTCTCTTCGTTCGGCCTTTAGTAATGACGAACACGAAGTCGTGCGTGAGTACGAAGGGTGCTCGCTCTCGTTTGATGATATTGTACATGAATCGCTTCACATTGCCGAGAATGTGGCCAAAGTCAATGTGGAACAGCTGCAAAGATTTAATCGATTCAGAAAATTAAGAACTAATATGCAAAGTCATTTAGTAAGCTCCCTCCCTATTCATTAGTATTATTACAATTAAGACATTAAATCATAAGCCACACGAATGTGGCAAAACTCGTAGGTGGTATAACCTCCCAGCAGGTTCACTTGGCCACAACTAACGAATAAAAATATGGTTCAAATGATGATCGATTATGTAATCAGTGCATGGATGATACGATGAGAGCGGGCATACCTGTCCAGTCTTACACAGCATGATGTTGTCGCTATGACGATCACCGATGCCTAGCACGTAGGTGGCGACACAGTACCCAGCACAGGATGAAGTGAACGTCTCTATGGCTTTGTTCAAGCTGCAATGATCAACGCGTTTCCATCACAAATGAATAATCGCAAGATGAAATGACTCAAACTGTATTATTTCCACCCTGTACCAGTAATATTTCAAACATTTTGTTTACCTTTATTGGCTACATTTTATCAAAAATGACTTGTGATGACTGCCTGCATCAAGCATACTCAAGTTATAGCAGAGATCGTAATTGTACTGGATTAAATTTCTACATGGCATGGAAACAACGTTGGTGACACTATTGGTATCTATCTAACTGTAGTTACTGATTGTTGGGTAGCTCTAACCTATCACTGTTGCAATGAGGGCATCCTACAATCACAACCTATAGTTGCAGAGTGAAGATTTTGGGACGAATGCATGAAAAACGCATACAAACCCCCCTTAACCAAACTAGCGATGGATGACATTCAACGCGATGCGTTGCCGGCTATGACTTATTGCTGGCTTTATTCGCTCATACATGAGTCATGCGTCGTCGCATCACGCTAGCCACTCGCAACCCATTGAACGCCGTCTCGCTCGCACGTGCAGCCCGGCGGGGGTCGATGACTCACCTGGACTCGAGCGGGTGATGCTTCTTCAGCCACTTGTATAGAGATTCCTTCTGAAACGCGCCGCTGACGCCGCTGTACTCCTTCTGGATGTTAGCGATCGTGCTTGCCTCCTGCACGACCTCAATTAGACCTACGTTCTTACCCGTCGTCAGGCATCCGTACGGAATCATCCTGATAAACAAACAAATATATAATTAAATAATGTTGATTTTTATAATGATATGAATAATTATTAATAATATAATATAATGTAACACACACATATATATAATATTATTATTGATATAATTAATGCATAATCAAATAATAAACGAGCAAGGGAAGCTTGTTTATCCTCATAAAATTGGGGGATGGGGATGGGGGTGGGTATGGGTGGTGTGGGGGGTTACGTGTCCACCACGTAGAATGTATCAGGGAAACACAACTTCACACATTAAAGATCATATTAATACCCTGTTATTACCCTGTTTTAATGATGAGAAAATACCACTGTAGAGAATTTATGTGATGATACGGTAATTTCATGCAACCAAGTCAGCATACAAACCTGAAATCAAGTCCTTCCAACTTCCAAATCTGATCCATAAGTCGAATGAGCTGCAGTGTGAGCATGTCCTGTCGCAGGTCTGCAAGCCAGAGATTTATTAACGTACAAATTTAAATTATCATTGGCAATGAATCGAACAAGGAAAGTACATGCTTATATTAAATGTGCCAAGAACGATTTCAACAGCAATATTGTAACACAATACACATAAAACAGATGTTAACCCTAATGAATTTCCAGCTGACCTAAACAGCTAACTATAACTCTAATATTAAACATACCACTAACCCTAACTAAAAACCTCACCCTTACTACCCTAACCAGGGCTAATAAATCCAATCCACGTCTAAAGATTTGAGTGCAAGCTCAAATATATTCGATCCCTGCTAGTAATACCGTAACTTCTGTGATTATTGCAAATCTCAAGCAGCGATGGCTATCAATGCTTCACCTTGAAAACTCGACGACCTTCAATATAGACACATTGTGACCTTGAGAACTCACCGTCTCCACTCTTGAAGATAATCTTGATGTCGTCGCCATAGAGATCTTGATTGGAGAAGACCAACATCAGAGGCCGCATCTTGGAGTCCATGCTCTTGCATTTATCCAGACTGAAAAACCATGCAGCCCACTGAACTGCCACTGACTCCCCACGAGTTTGAACCAGTACCAGAAACAGAAACGCGCAACAAATAAAGGGGCACATACGACAAATATGAATTACACACATTCCAAACCCAACAGAACAATACCTTCTGCAATAACTACGCTTATGAGTTTTGCCCATTTTGTCCACCAACTGCTAAAAGCCATTAATTTAGAGCCAAAACGATAATGAATCCACATCGAAAAGGTGTTAAGATTGCAGCAAAATCCATTATCACACAGCCCCCTCTTACTTGAGATCTTTTAGCTGGTAACTCGGCAACAATGGGCAGACGAATTCAGACAGCGTTTCATGCACGGACTTTTCTGCCAGGTAGCTTTTCATGTTTACATCTCTGACATCCTGTAAGCACGCAGAAATGTGTAACACAGTGATTCAAGACAAGCACATATACCGCATATCATTGTATGAAGTCATTCGACAAGACCAAGTCTATATGACTGTGTATGCGCATGTGTATGCGTATGTGTGTGTGTGCCAATGAATGTGTATAGGTGTATTTGAGTAATTGGTAGTGTATAATAAATATATTATTTATATATATATATTGTTGCCGTTGGCCATGTGTATGTGCATAGTACATGTGTACTTACATGTACACGTCGAAGCGTAACATTATGTGTATGTTAACATGTACACGTGAATGACATGTATGTGTATGTACAGTGTGTATGGTACATGTACATCGTGTAACGTACCATTTACATGTGTATGTAACATTACATATACAGACACGTGTACATCGTTAATGATAGCATGTACATGTGTATGTACATGTACACGTGAACGTGTACATGGTACACGTGTACGGCACATGTACATGTACATGTGTATGTAACATATCACATGTGTATATACCGATGTACATGTGGTATGCTGCACGTGTACACGTCGTAATGTTACATTGTACTGTACATCGCATATCCAATGCGTGCGTCGGATGTACATGTAAGCATGTGTGTCAGTATATATATGTAGTTGTGGCAGGCAGGCGAGTATGGTACATAGTACATGTATAGAGCTAGCGCGTGCGGTGTATAAGTACAGTACATGTATATGTGTGGCGCAGTGGTGGTAATGTACAATGTACATGGTATATGCAGGCGCAGCCGTGGTAGGTATGTAGCATGTACATGTATATGTGTGCGCGTGGTGGTATGTACGATAGTATATGTGTGCGCTGTGGTGGTATGTAACGATGTACATGTGTATATCGTGTGCGCGTGTTGGTATGTAGAAAAAAAAAAAAAAAAAAAAAAAACATTAGCATTATATTGTGCGCGTGTGGTATCTTGACATGTACAATGTAATATGCGTGCGCGCACCCGTTGTGGGTATGTGACATGTAACATGTATATGTTTGCGCGTCGGGGTATAGTACATAGTACATGTATACGCGTGCGCTCGTGGTGGTATGTACAGCGTACATGTATATTGTTTGTGCCGTGTGGTATGTAAACATGTACATGTATATGCGTGCGCGTGGTGGGTATGTAGCATGTGTACATGTATATGCGTGGTGCGTGGTGGTATGTACATGTACAGTGTATAGTGTGCGCAGTGTGGTATGATTTACATTGCAGTGTATATCGTTGCGCGTGTGTATGTACATGTACAGTGTATATCGTGTGCGTGGTGGTATATTACATGTAGCATGGTATATGCGTGCGCCAAGGTGGTGCGTATGTACATGTATCACTCGTATATTGCGTGCGCCCGGTGGTGTATGTACAATTACATGTATATGTGTGCGCGTGTGGTATGTACATGTACTACTGTATATGCCGTGCCGCGTGGTGGTATGAGTATGTACATTGTACATGATAATGACGTGCGCGTGGTGAGTACATGTAGGCATGTATATGCCGTGCGCGTGGTGATATGTAGCATGTACAGTGTATATGTGTGCCGCTGGTATGTAACAAGTGTACATGTATAATGCAGTAGCGCGTGGTGGTATGTACATGTATATGGTGGCGCGTGGTGGCTATGTACATGTATAATGTGTGCGGCGGGTGGATGTAGCAGTAATATGCGTGCGCTGTGGTTGGTAAATGTACATGTACATGGTAATTATGCGTGCGCGTGGTGGTATGGTAAATGTACATGTATATGCGTGACGCGGGTGGTAGTGACATGTATATGCGTTGCGCGTGGTGATATGTACCCATGTAACATGTATAGTGCGTGTGCGTGTGTATGTACATTGTAGCATCGTATATGCGTGGCGCGTTGTTGGTATGTCATGTACATGTAATGCGCGTGCGCGTGGTGGTAAATATATGTAAAGCATGTATGATGCGGTGCGCTGGTGGCGGTATGCTAACATGTACAATGTATATGCCAGTGCGCTGGTGGTGGTATAATTATGTACACTGTAATGTATATGCGTGCGCGTGGTGATATGTACATGTACATGTATATGCGCGCGCGTGGTGATATGTATCTGAGCATGCTACCTTCTGTCGGTTGTCGTCGCTCTTCAGCATGTTGCTTAGCGCCTCCATCTTCTTCATCGCCTCCAGCTGCTTGGCGAGTGACTTCATGTGGCGGATGTTGCCGCGGCAATAAGCCTCCAGGATCGCACCGAATCGCACGCTAATCGTCGGGTCGTGCATCTCAGACCTGTGCGGCAACGAGGAGCATGACAACGTCGCCGTGACAATGTCGCCGTGACAACGACCGAGTTCCCGAGAACCATGATGACGGCGGAATTTCCAGGAAACGCGACGATGATTAAATTCCGGCGTGCTTATTATCTTATAGCCGTTCCTTTATGTAAAGATCGTTGAGGGAAAAGCCAGAGGTCTTTTTATAGTCCTTTATATAGAGGGGTGTGTTCTATACAGGTGTTTTAATTGCCGTCCATTGTAATCCATTATATAAAGCATCATTAGATGAGCAATGGTGGTACATATAATGGCTGATACTCTTATGGGCAGTGCTACCACCTGCTGTCAAGAATGAGAACAATGGAGCATCCGTGACGTGTAGTAGTTTCACCTGAGAAGCCAGAAGAAGTGATGGCCGATGTGCATGTTGTTGAGCGCCCTCTTCAGGAGGAATTCGACGAGGTCGTTCTCATGGTAACATTCGTGTTTCACAGCTTGTACAAGCTGCAGTAGGTAGTGCATCAACTGGACGTCGCTGTAACACACACACGTCGCTAGCTTAGTACATGTGATGTTTCCCTCACATTTAAACGAGAGATCGCGACAACAGTACGCTTTAACGATGTGGTTTAGGGGATATGTATATAGATACGTATGTGTGTACGTATGATACATATGTGTGTACGTGCGTGTGTACGTATATGTATACCTTCTACACATATACATGAGCACGAAAGCCAGACGAATGTTATATATGATGCAGTGCGAAATTATTGGTTTATAGTGATGAGTTGGGCAAAATCTAACAGTTAGATGCAACCTTTTTCCCAAAAACAATTACTTATTAATAGTTAATTGTTTGTAAAAACGAGGCCCTACAACAACTGAGCAAAGATATGAGGAACTAATGGTTTGTGCTCTGAGAGAACTCGCACAGTTGCAAACACGTAGCGACACCTACCTGATGGATTCCATGCTCTGTACGGCAAACCGGCGGACGCACATGTCTGCGTAGTTACAATCCAGCAGTTCCATCGCCTCCTCAGGTTTTAATGGATGCCACGCCTGTAGTAGTGCTTTCATCTAAGGGGAAAAAATATATCGACGTATCAATATATTGTTCACTCTTTATATATGACAGGCTTTCAGTAGTATTAGCTTACAGACATAGGATTGGGGAGTTTTCACACACAAAAATCTATGCAGTATAAAATAATCTACAAATCTGTACTGTCTACAAAAATCTACAAACCTACATAGTCTGCACAAATCTACGAAATCACAATTCAACAGCTAACACTTCCCTTTGTCATTTAACAAACACAGACATGCACATATGCATGCACGGGCATTGCACGCACGCACAGACACACGCACGCATGCACACAAACACACACACAAACCCACGCACGCACACACACACACACACACACGCACGCACGCATGCAGCACACACACGCACATACACGCATGCACACACTCACGCACACACGCAGTGATGTGCGCGCACGCACACAAACACACACACACACGCATGCACACACACGCCTGCTCTGCTCTGCCTCCTACTGCCTGCCTGCTGCCTGCTGCTACCTTTCTGCTCTGTTGCCTACCTGGTCTGGCCTGTCTGCTGTTGCTGTTATGTCTGGTCTGTTGTCTATCTTCTGTTTACCTCTCTGTTTGTCTGTTTATCCTTTCATCTGTATTTATACATCTGATCATTTGTCATTTTATCTGGTCACTGATTCGTAAGTTTGTCTTTTCCTCAATCAATGTCACATTCGATTGTGTACATTTGCAAGTGTTAGCAGTAGCGAGAATGTCTGTGATTACTAGCGCCCTCTCGTGTCCGCTGCAGGAACCGTGATGGAGAACTCACAGCTGAGGAGATCACGAACTGCAGATCAGTTTGTGCGCTACAACGACGGCGTCACGACGTTCCCCAGCATGGACAAGGTAGAACACGCACAGCTCATCACAGAGAATGCAGCGTGGAGCTTCGTTTCACAGCCTGATGCATGCTTATTCCTCGCTCATTTCCATAAGTCTAGCATCTATAAGGTGGCTGTGGCAGCTGCATTTATATATTTTGTGCAGGCGATGCAAAGGCCAGTGCGACTACGTCACACGTGACTTAGTGATGTGCATTCTTTTGTCTTTCGGTTTTTATCGTCTCATTTTTTGTTATCTGTTATTTTATTAATTGTATTAGATTTGATTTATGTTTATTTGTTTACGTATTGGTGGCTTGTGCAGGTGCTAGAGAAGGCAGCTGAAACAGCACAGCATTTTGGAGGCATTGCTGGGGTAAGCATGGATCTTCATTCGAAATACTCTGTTAATACGAAATTCCAATTTAGAATGAGGTGAAATTTTACTGTGTGTGGAAACCCGTTCTGATACACATGGTAAGCTATGTGGACAATAATGCGGTATTTGCAGTGTGTGTGTGTGTGTGTGTGTTACGTGTTGTGATGTGTACTGTGTACATACATGTCCGTGTACATCATGTGTTAGTGTGGCGGGTGTCTTGTGTGCGAGTGTGTGCGTTACGTGCCTGCGTATGTGTGCGTGCGTGCCCTGTGTGCGTACGTCCCTGCGTATGTGTGTGCGTGTCTGCGTGCGTCCATACATACGTGTGTGCGTACGTCCCTGCGTATGTGTGTGCGTGCGGGTGCTTGTGTGCGTGTGTGCGTCGTGGTGCGTACGATCCCTGCGTATGATGTGTGCGTCCGTGTGTGTGCAGTCATACATACGTTGTGGAGTACGGGTCTGCGGATATGTTGTGTGTGTGTTGTGAGTGCGTCCCATACTATACGCTGTGTGCGTACGTCCTGCGTATGTTGTGTGTTATGTGTGCCTGCATCATACATACGTGTGTGCGTAGGCCACGTAATGTGTGTGTATGTTGTGCGTGGCATCCATACATACGTGGCGCGTGCTAGTCCTGCTTATGTGTATGCGTGTGTGCAGCCCGCAGCCGTGCGTCCATACATACGTGTGTGCGTACGTCCCTGCGTATGTGTGTGCGTGTGTGCGTGCGTCCATACATACGTGTGTGCGTACGTCTTACGTATTTTGTGTGGTGTATGTCTTGCGTTGGCCCGCTCCATTACATACGTTGTGTGGTACGTCTAGTGAATGTGTATGCGATGTGTCGTGCGTCCATTACAATACTTTCTGGGTCGCGTACGTTCCGCTGAAGTATGCTGTATGCGTGTCTGCGTAGCGTCCACTACTATAGTGTGTGGTACGTTCCCTGCGTATGTGTGTGCTGTGTGTGCTGTGGGTCCATAAATACGTGGGCGATGTGTGTTACGTCCTCGCGTATGTGTGTGCTGTATCGGTTGTCGCCTGCATCATAATTACGTGATGTCGCGTACGTCCCTGGTATGACTGGTGTGTATGTGTGGTGCGGTACATACATTTACGTGATGTGCGTCGTCCCTGCGTATGTGTCGTGAGTGGCCTGGTCATCCAGACCATAAGCTGTGTGCGTACGTCCTCGCGATTAAACGCCGGTGTGTTGTGCTGTGCGCGGTGATTGTGCGCCTTGGTGTGTGCGCCGCGGTAGTTCCTGCCGTATGTGGTGTGCCACAAACCCGTGTCTGCGTGTCGTCCATACTACGTGTGTGGTACGTCACTGCGTCATGTGTGTGTATGTGTGTGTGGTCCGACATTACATACGTGTGTGCGTATCGGTCCCTGCGGATGTGTGTGTAATGTTGTGCTGGTCATAATAATACGATGTGATGGTAGTCTCGCGTGCGTATGTGTGTAGCGTTGCTGCTCGCTGTAGCCGTCCATAATACGGTTGTGCTGACGTACGTCCTGCGTATGTGTCGTGTATGTGTGCCTGCATCCATAATACGTGCTAGTGCGATTACGTCCCTGCGGTATGTGTGTGCGTGCCTGCGATGCGCTCCATACATACGTGCTGTGCAGTACGGTCCATGCGTAAGGTGTGCATGCGTGGTTGTGCCGTGCCGTCCATGACATCAGGTGTCGTGCGTACGTCCCTGGTATGTGTGTGGTCTGTCGAGCGTGCAGTCATACATACTGTGATGTGAACGTACGTCCCTAGTTGGGATGTGGCGTGACCTGCCTGCAATCCATTACTACGTGGTGTGCGTAGTCCCCTGGGCTATCGCTAGGCTTTTTCAGATTTGAAAAGTAACAGGGGGATACTAATGACTCCCTAGAACACATTAGGGCGCAGACTTTTTCCGCTCATAATCACACTTAAGAGGCATGATTGGAGAAGCTCCTTAAAAAATTACACCCTTAAGATGCAATGGATGGAGGAGTCTACTAAAATACACCCTTTAAAAAAGGTCTGCATTCTTCAAATAGGTCTGCCAATACGACGGATGATTGCGCATGTGCCTCATTTTAAGCTTTTTTTTTGCGGTTGTCGGAGTTGTCCTCAGAGTTTTGGCCATGTACCGGATTTATTTAAACATGTGCTGGCATGGCGCTTGTCAGTGTGATGGGCTTCAGTGCTGTAAGCAAAAGGCCTAATCATGTACATTTTGTACGGGTATTTGCAGTGGACAGACAGACATGCGCAATTCGACATTGTTTCACTCTTATATGAAGATAATAAATTTAGGTAAATGTCGTATATGATGCTAGGGGAATCTAATGAAGACTATAATAAAATAGTAATTAAAGTTGCATAAAATTTTATTTCATTAGGAAGTTTACAAATTAACTACTAACATTACACTTACTAACATTATACATTACATTAAACTGTATGACAGTATGTTGTTAGTACAGAATGACAGCAATTGAATTACATCGAACTACTCTGTGTTGTTAAACCACGTAATGTGTATATTTGTGATCAGCAAGCCAGACAATGCGATTGACATACTGTACGTTTGAGTCGTATTGTGGCAACCCTGGGCCGTAATGTAATGAACGCGCGAATTCAATGATATAACATTTTTATATGAGGTGGAACCGGCAACACGAAGCAATTTGTAGCTATGCCCGATGAGAAAATCCGTCGTCACGGCGAGGAACGATGTTAAATTGCAGCCCTGCCGGAAGGGTGTATGAAAGTTGCACATTCTTCCATTGGCTACTGAACTGAGCGTTGGGCTAGTAGATACTCCATCAGGGTAACAGCGCATCCATGTGCAATTGAAACTTATGGACAGGTGAAACTGCCTCAAGGGCACGCGTGACGCGGCGGACTTTTTGTAGTTACACGATCGAATCGCATACACATGACTTTTTGACAAGTGCGCGATTTTTAAACACTATTTTATGAGGGCGATGATGCGCGCACATGCACATTTATGTGTGCGCGGCCTGGAATGCGCTGGAGCGCCGCATGCGCCCTTAAAAAATGCGAGCCTGGTTATGGTGTTGTGAGGTTTTTTTGCGCCTGCTGTTTGCGGGGATCCCATAACATACGTGTTGTGGTTGACGTACGTCCCTTTGAGTATGTGTGTGCGTGTGTGCCTGCATCCATAATAGGTGTTGCTGGGGATGTCCTGCGCTTATGTGTATTGGTGTCTTGGTGCGA